TTTTTATGACCTCTAGGGAGTCACCTACACCCACAGTGTTTTAACTGTCACGTACACACATCCACACGCACACTCACTCATGTGCGCTCACATAGACACCCGGGAACGTGCACATGTAGGCATTCATGTGCTCGTGCACATAGACACAGACAGAGTTTGCAGCACACCGTGGGGGGTTTTATGATGGGGTCGCCTCTATAAAGCTGGCTGTAACTAACAAAGGGGTGAAGATTTTGCAGAGGGACACACCGGCCTCGTCTTCCCTTCTAGAAGTGCATGCTTAAATGAAGATGAATAAAGATGAATAAAGGTTTTGTGAAATAACTACTGAGTTCCGGTGCCGTCTCTGGATGCCTCGACGAATAAAAGAACAGGGGTAAAACTGATTTCGGAACACTGACTAAATCATCTTTTTGTGGTTTATTGTCTTCAAACCAGCAGACAAAGCCGATTGCAGAAGATGTCAGAGAAGAACTTCAGGCCGTGTACTGAAAAGGTATTTTTTTCTTGTTATCAAAAGACATTTGGAGTGGCAGCTTCTACAACTGTTTGTGCTAAAGTAAAGCTTACAGTCTAAGAAATCACAGTGTTGATATTCAGCACAAAGAGAAAAACACGCCAGAGACAGTGGTAATGTGGATGACTGTACAGTGTGTGATGTGTAGTATTTCTCCAATCCAGACAAACACACTGCTTTATTGTGTTTTTGAAGTGTGTCTAACACTGGTGACAACTCCTCAAACGTAGCAGAAGGAATCTTTCTTTTTGAAGGACTGCTTCTTCTGCCTTTCACCACAGACGGTCTGTTTATATTTTCATCAAGAGTCTTTTTTTGTGCTGCTGAAGATGTAAAGTCAATGTTATGGCCAACCTCTGGCTGTATCTTGGTTGTGTTCCCCGGCAAAACCCAGCAGGCTGGTTCATCTGTGGCTGTCTTTGTGCCACGGATCCTCACTGTTGCCTCCACTTTAAACAGAAGTGCAGCGACATGGGTGCAGGTCTCAACAACTCCGGCCATACAGGTGCAGTGTGCAGCTTCGACCTTCCCCGTGGTGCTTACAATTACCCATGGTCGTAATGCAGGTTCATTCAGTCTTTGAGAGTGCAGTACCTGAAACACACACAGACAAAGTTGATTTAAAGACAATAAATGAAATGAGACAGGGAGGACACAAATTGGCGTTAATAATTTGCCCGATTATCAATGTGTTAATTTGCATCTACTTTACAATTATGGGCATATAATATGATAACGATATTTTAGCAGTTCAATGATAAATGTATAACATTAATTATGGTGGGGGGTGGAAAATGGCTATTTCACTCGATGCACTCCAGCTGACTTACCTTGGTATGAATGACGACGTACTCAGAGTTTGGCGGCTTGAAAATAGCCAAATCTTGCACCCAGCCATTTGTAAATTGGATGTGCGCCTCCAGTGACTTGTAATTACGAAACTGGTTCGCTGTGTAAGCGCTTACTCCACAAACAAGATACGTGAAGATATCGGGGTAGGACAGTGGCGGTAAGTCGTCTGGGTCTTTACTCCACTGCCGTATTTCATATGGGTCCAGATTTGCGATTTTTCTCTTCTTCTTCACCTTCGCTTTAGCTCTTCTACTGCTACTTTATTAAACAGCCCGAAGAGGGGGGGGGGGGGGGGGGGGGGGGGGGGGGGGGGGGGGGGGGGTGGGTGGGGGTGGTATTTGAATGTGTGTAATAAGTGTTTAATAACGTTCAAAAACAATCTTTTTGGCAAAAAATTAAAATGTATGTGGATATACATGGTAGATGCTGACAAAGTAAATGGCAATTAGAGGTTGGTGAATCATCCAAATGTCAGTAGTGTCGGTACTGAATCTATACTAGTGCGTCAGAATCGATACTTTGTTTCTATTCTCTTACGTTCAGTATGTACCCCACTGACTTGTGTTAAATAAATTATTTCTTTGGAAATAAAAATACACATGCACAAACCTTACACATGCACTATGAGAAAGGTCTGAACCTTTTTGTGTTGACTTTACAGAACAAGCTTAAGTTTTATTTTGAAACTTTTGCCGGTTTCGACCGGAAATGCCTGTTCAATTTTTTGTGGCGGCTTCGCGAGCGCTGTAACACCAACGTACCAGAGAAGGTATAGACAGCCCCGAAGTTATGAAGCGTTGCTCCATTAGCTCGAGGTCGCGGGTGTGTCACAGCGTGGGTGCCATCGCTCTGTGACCGGTACTGAGTCATCTGGGTGGAACATGTCTGTAGTAACAGTTCAGCTCGGTCAGTGCGGTAACCAGGTGGGTCAGGAGCTGTTTGACATCATTTGTAGCGATGCTCAGGAGGGACAGAGGAAGACGTACAGCGCTGCCAGCTGCGAGCGGTTCTTTCACCAGACCGCACAGGGAGGTACGACGCCTCTCTAATGGTACTAAACAAAGTCCGAGTCCCGTCTTCCGCACTCATGTTTCCTGCCGTGTTTTTTCCTACACCAGACCTCGTTGCCAGGGCGCTGTTGGTAGATATGGAGCCTAAAGTAATCAACCGGAGTATGAGCATGGCTGCAAAGTCTGGCAGGTGGAGCTATGGAGCGAGTTCTCACTTCAGCCAGAAGCAGGGCTCCGGAAACAACTGGGCTAATGGGTAAGGATGGGACAGTATGAGCCCACCTATTCTGGAATGCTGTCATTTGATAGCATTCACGCTGATCACCTGTTTCTTTTACTGATCTAGGTATTGTGTCCATGGTCCTTGTCACAGAGACGCAGTGGAGGAGCTGGTGAGGCGGGAGGTGGAGCGCTGTGACAGACTGGCTGGGCTTATAGCGATGATGAGTGTGGCAGGGGGGACGGGGTCAGGTGTCGGCACCTACGTTACTCAGTGTCTCCGTGATATTTATCCATCATCCTTTATCCTCAACCACCTTACCTGGCCGTACGGGACTGGAGAGGTGTGGACGCTGAACTATCTTTAACATGGTGTAAGAGAGAATCGTGCTACCTTCTGACTGTTTACTTTCAGGTGATCGTCCAGAACTATAACTCTGTGCTGACGCTGGCTCATCTCTACCAATTGTCAGACGCCATACTGGTGCACGAGAACGACACGGTGCACAGGATCTGCAGTCGGCTTCTTAATATCAAACACATCTCTTTCAGTGACGTCAACAGGGTCATCGCCCACCAGCTGGGCAGTATCCTGCAGCCCGCGCTCACCGCTGACTCCCATGGAGCATACAGCAGAAATCCTCTGGGTGAGAAAGGACAAACACTACTCACACCTGCAGTCGTGGACAGACGTTTACACACTCATGGTGGGCTTGAATGTCATGGTAATTTTTTGAGCTGCTGTTTTTCCAGATGGAACCTTTGTACAGCATACATCTTTAATGATATTAAAAAACAAGAGTTTGGTGCACAAGTTTGAATTTATTTTGGATTTTCCGTATTCCACACAGGGTCAGAAGTATACATACAGGTTCAAATGTATACATACATTCATTTAAATATTTTAATAAGTGTTGCAGAAGGATCTGCAATGTCTTTTAACTTGCCGAGACCAATTCACTTCTTGATAGTGGTCATGATTGAGTACATCTGGTAGTTTTTCTTTGGCAGCATGACAAGGATGTGTTTCATAGCCCTCAGTGGATTGACCAATACTCAGAACACTGGGAAAGTCCAATGAACTCAGCGAAGATCTAAGAACATCTGCAGATTTGCACAAGTTGGGAAAGTCTCTGAGAGCCATTTCTAAACAACTGCAAGTTCCAGGATCATAAGTTCAAACAATTGTTGGGTCATTAAAAATGTATGATCATATTCTCTGGGGAAAAAAAAAGCAGTTGAAACAAATGACTAAAGGTTCCCACAGAGTTTGCCTTTCTCACAATACAGCCTTTTTTTGTCAGGTGAATTGGTGAGTGCTCTTGCCTGTCATCCAGAGTACAAGCTACTGAGCTTGTGCACCATCCCACAGATGGCCAGTTCCTCCATAGCCTACAGTACGTTTAGCTGGCCGGGGCTGCTCAAACACCTGCGACAGATGCTCATCTCCAACACAAAGATGGAAGAAGGCAAGTGCACACTAACATAACCGTGTAGCCTGTTATGTCAATGAGATATTGTTGGAAGTGATAGTGAGAGGATCTTTGTTTGTCGTGTGACAGGTATAGACTGGCAGGTGCGTCCTCCTGCTGACTCTGGGCGGAGCAGGAGTCTCACAGGGGGCAGCTTTAACACCTCTCTGGCCAACCTTCTCATCCTGAGAGGGAAAGATGTCTACAGTGCAGAGACAGGTCAGATGGGTGGATGAATCATTGATTTAATTTAATTAAAAGGGGAAAAAGGCGGGTGATTGTGTGAGTTTACCAGATAAATTTATGACAGTCATGTAGGGGATGATGTTTCCAAAAGATTGATTAGAGCAATTCTTTTGTAATAATGTAAGTCTGCAGATTGTACAGAGCAGGGGATGTGAATCATGTGCTTATGTGCTTAGGTGGCATTGATGATCCAGCCCTGTACACCTCCTGGCTCCCATCCAAAGAAGCTTTCAGCTTGTGGAAATCCCCTGTACCCTTTAATAAGTATGAGAAATCTGCCACGCTGGTCAGTAACAGCCAGGCTCTGCTCAGACCTTTGGATGACATGGTGGGAAAAGTCTGGAATATGTTTGCCTCCAGGTGGGTCAGTCCCTGTACATGCACAGTAAGGAAAAGCTGGTCCCAGAAGTATAACTGAGCAGACAGTTTCTCTTTTTAAAAATTCTTTTCTTTCACTTTTCCTGTTACAGGGCGTACGTCCATCAGTACATTAAATTTGGCATCTCAGAGGAGGACTTCCTAGACAGCTTCACATCTCTTGAACAGGTGATCTCCAGCTACAGTCAGCTGTGCTAGCACTGGGGACTACTGTGGCTTTCATGTAGATAAGAAAATAACACCTTATGTGTTTTGTATACATTTTTTATATTGCTGCTTTGATTTCACATAATTCTTTGAATTCCTGGACTCTGACATCTGCACTGGCGAGAACTGAGACACTGGAGGTCTCTATTCAAGATATAATGCTACTTTATAATACTTGCATCTCAAGTAGTATAGTGTCAAGTCAAGTTATAAGATGGGTAATAAAATGCTACATTAGTAAAAACTGTGTAGATCTATGCCAGACACTTGTTACCCCAAATTTGCAATCGCACCACCAGACCTACCTCTCAGCTTCCTAGTAGATGCACCAATGGTATCAATTTGAAAATCCCAGATTTGAGAAAATTTGACCTGTGACCTTAAGGTCAAGGTCACTGCGATTCAAACTGGTTTGACATTTTTAATAGATACGCCAATGGTATCGATGTTCGTCACCTTGTTCTTGAGTTATTGCATTCACAAACCTGGGCGTCCACGCCACCTGTCTGACTGGGTGGCTACAAAGGCTGACGGGTAAAATGTAAATCAAAAGATCACCTTGTGAAATCCTCGCTGAGGGATTTGCACAGATCCTGTAATGTGTGCAGCAAGATGCTGGAGATCTGCCAGTCATTCAGTCAGCAGCAATGTAAATGGCACGTTGCTGGTGTTTGGTCGGGTCAGGAATCCACAAGGGCGGAAACCTCAATGGCTAGAATCTGGAAGCATTTGAGTCAGTGAGGGGCAGGTCACTGAACAAACTGCTCTCCATCAGGGACAATCCATGTTACCTGCTCCACTCCACACTACTGAGCTCATTCTGCTGCAGCCTCATTCAACCACGCTGCCATAAAGAACGCCTCAGGAACTAATTTCTCTTGTTCTCTAAGAAACTCTACCGTAGCTCTTTTTTTTATGACCGCTGAACACACCTGTCAGTTTCTTACATTTAATCTACATACTTTTTCTTTTCTTTTTTAAATTAATGCTATTCCCACTATTCTTTTGCAGAATGTCTTATGTTTCTTTAACTCCAATTTTTTTCCATTTAATCAGTTGTACATTAACTTTTTGCACTACCTCACCTTATTAGGCTTTCACCTGGGCCTGCAGTACTTTTGCAGTTTTTATTGTAGATTTTACTCTTTTTATTCATAATCCTGCTGCTGTAACAAAGACATTTCCCTTGCAACAAAATAAAGTCATGTGTTACTTAATCAACCATAGCTACTGAAAACATAAGCGAGTGTGTATATTTCTTCTTCCCTTTTTAAGAATGCATCATGTTAAGTTTTTCTATGTAAATAAACTGTATTGGCTACAGCAGCTTAAATATGCATTAAGCAGTAAAATGTCCCAAGCTGAGATCAGCTTAAACGTTTACAGTTGAAATGCAATCAGTGATCATTTTGAAAGGCAGCACCGCACAAAGAAAAGTAGCAAAAGAATCACTTTTCATCTCTTTATTGTTTATGAGTTTTACACAGTAGAAGTGGAGTGACATAAAAGCAAAGAGTCTCTTTAGATAACAGCGTTGTCCGCACACAGACCCACTAACGTGTAGCTGCAGTGCTCGAGATGAACCCAGAAATGCTGAAGACCAACAACTTCAGCCAGCTTACAGACCGCTGTTGCCAAGCACATCCAACAGCCAACACCAGTCTGATAAGCTAGCTGATGGTGTGGAAGAGTGGTGTGAAGGAATGCCAAACCACATGGTTGGAGAGTCTCAACCATGAGCTGAAGTCGGCCAGGATCTACAGAGTATGTTTAAGAGTCGGGAAGGCAGGCAAGCTGAGAAATAATCAACATCAAAAACCAAATTCTTCTCCTACCATGAAGGATGTCATGCGTCTGGTACTAAAAGCAGTCAAAATAAGTGTGTTAGGGCTGACATGACACTTACCTTAAAGATGATCGTTTCAAAGAGACAATTACGAATCAAATCTTTTGTGTTGGGTCTTAAACCTAACGGTATTACACGGAGGGGGAAAAAAAGCCTCCATGGATGAACATTTCAGGAGAATCCAAACAAATGAGAGACTCAGTCTGGAGAAGAAGTGCCACGATTTCCATGTTTTATGTATGATCTGATCCCAGGTTCAAGTCAAATGTACAGAATAGAAATTGTACTAGTTAGCTGAGGGTACATCGTTACTTTACAAATGATATCGCCTTTTCTTGTGGGTTTTGGTTCAAATTGACTCATGTTCACACAGACCATAGAATAGAAATACATCTGAACATACCGTCAAAAAGATAGTAAGATATTTACACAATGTGCAAAACATCAATACCACATCATCTGAAGTTGATATTGCTTTTTTTCTCCCTCCTCCTACCATTTTTAAATGGACAATTCCAGAAACAAAAGACAAAATTGGTCTTACAGGACAAAAACCATGAGGTCAATGAAACCCTGAAAAGAAACACCATCCACAGCAGTTATCTTGGCAGCACACTGTACAGACAAATCTAGATCCATCCATACACAAAGGTTACAAAATTAAATAAAAATCAAGTCTATAAGTCAAGAGCTATATTCAAGGGAGGTCACGCCTTCCCGTCTTGCATAAGGCATAGCATCTGATGGGCACTGCCCTTACACAGCAGCAACCACCAAACCGCTGCTTTACTTCTGAGGTCAATGAATGGGTTAATTTAAAGTAACTTGTTAAGATCAGCAGTAGAACCAATCGCGCTAGACACACCTAAAGAGTGAGATGAAGAAGAACTACAAAAACCTGAACGAGGAGACAGTAAACGGCACATACATCCTCAAAAAAAAAAAAATAAAAAAATCACGCGTACGCACACACTGACAAATTATGCCTGGTTTCTTGATCGTTCAGCCTCTTTGAGAATGGATGAGGGTGAGGTTAAGTTGTGAGTGGCTGTGGCCGAAAGTGGAGCTCTCAGCGGCAGCACAAACACAGTCGCTTGGATGTTTGTACCGCTTTATTTCGCCATCACTTGGTTTTCTCCTCCGAGTGCCTCAGCTGCTGCAGCCTCTTGGCGTAGCTCTGAGCCATGGAGTTCACGATGGAAATGACAAAGTAGCAGACCATGACCAGCACCACCTTCTCAAACACCCACGACAGCCAGTTCTCATCCTGAAAAACCCCAAATTAGGGTGGATATGCTTTATTTTTTTTTACCCTCGTACAAGCAAACAGTGAATATCAGCTAGACTGATAAAACCAGCCATTTACAACTGAAGGATATGCTAATAATTAAGAGACTGCTATGCACAGTTTGTCCACCAGAGGGCACTGACACATTTTATACAGTTATTAATTAATTACACTTATTGAGATATAGATATATATAGATATATATATATCTGAATTTGCATCAACACTTTTGCTATGCTTCCGAGTCTCTAGTGCATGGATTTAAAGGTAGTTAGGTAGATACTACAGCTTTTAATTTTACAGATTATATTAAACCTTGCCAAAAAAAAAAAAAAAAAAAAAAATCTCATTCACTTAGTGGCTGCCCTTTAATAAATATACATATAAAGCTAATAGACCAAAAATAATGCATGGTAAAGTCTAAATCTTCTTACCGCTGGTGCACTTCCTCCAGCATGGTGCAGCTTGTTCCTTTGTGCTTCCAGGTACTGCCTGAAGGGCTTCTGGAGAGATGGCCCTAGTTTGGGCACCGACCTGACATGGCATACCCACAAAGCAGCAACAGATAAAAAGAACAAAGAAGAGAGAGAGAGAGAGAGAGAGAGAAGGAGGTGAAACATTTAGTTACTTACCCTTTAAGCAGCCTTCTTAGACATGGAAACCAAAACTTCAGATCCTGCACACTAAGCTATTCAAGTCTTCCCTTTCCCTGAACAATACTTTAGAGAAAAAAGAAAGAAGAAGGTCCTCGCTGATCCAGTCAAACAGCATTCAGGCCAGGCAACAACTGCTGAAGGCCCCATCCTACATGTGGGCCCTATCTTGGAGCTGCCACCTCCTCTAATTGTTACTGTGAGCAGGAGCAGGCAGCAGAGAGGAATGAAGCAGAAACTCCTCAACCCTCCTTTTATACCCTTTAGCTCTCTATAGGAGTCTGTGTCAGCCCCTTCACTGAGGAAGTGAGTCGACATGATGTCATCACCTTTACCAACATTGCTGCCTTCTGGATGGAAAGACATCTAATGAGGGCGTGCTAATGCCCTTATTAGGTAGTGAATTAGCTCACTTGGGGGGGTGGTGGTAGTCATTATTAATACAATTTTAACAATTCATGTCATAGACAGGTACTGGTACTGTAGTTTTACCACTGGGTCAGCAGCAGTACAGTTTGAAGAAGAATCGCTACATGACCTCAAACTTATCATTACCATGAAAAGAAAAATATACTGCAGGCTGTACTCACAGCCTTCCCACCGCATGAATTCAATTCTGGCCCTGGACAGGACATAAACATGTTGTCTAGACCTGACTAGACTAAGCAAAAACATGAGCGATAACACACACACACACACACACACACACACACACACACACACACACACACACACACACACGGGGACTGGGTAATTGCTGATGTCACTTAAACCTAACTAGTTTTGTGTGATTCATTCTTGTTATCGCTTTGACTTTACATGTAAGCACACATGAATTCACACAAACTGGAAAAGAAACATCCTGTATCAGCAAGGAAAAACTATCTGCACACATCATAGCGAGTCACCGAGAGTCATCTGTACAGCAGCAGCAACGTGGGAAAGAACCTTGAATTTCATTTTAAATCAGATAGTGTTTTTGGTGAAGTCAAAAAGAAGTTCCTATGAAGGAGGATACCGATTTTAAAACTAGCTAAAGGTGTGGGCTGCCTGCAGCCAACTTTGACCTTAGGTGGGCTGGAGCAGCGGGAAATCTTCTCTGTCAGTGTGAAAAAGTTAAATCACACATTTAATCGCTGAGATATCGTAATATAAGAAAAGTATGTCTCAGTTTTTGTCTTTTTTTAAAAAATTGAATGGGTCTGGCCACGAAGCATACACCCGACCCATCTTTCAAATCTGGGGAAAAGGAGGACGCATTTGTTGGCTGCATTTGTCGGAGTCTTGTAATTTGGACAGCCTTCATCGCATCGCTGTGACATAATCGACCTACAAATGCGGCCTCCGAAGGATGCGGCCCCTGAATCTGGACACAGCTACGATACCGGAGACTGCTTCTTCTTCTTCTTCTTCTTCGGCGTTTAACGGCAGCTGGCATCCTTGTAGATGCATTGCTACCATCTTCCATTTCAGTCCATTATT